AGGATCACAGGACTCAATGACTACAGGCCTGTCGCCCTGACCTCTGTAGTCATGAAGTCTTTTGAACGGCTAGTCCTGACCCACCTGAAGTCCCTCACCGAACACCCTGCAGTTCGCCTACAGAGCCAACAGGCACTGCATGAAAAGTGAGATTTTCGTCCCCGTAAATGCCCGGAAATCTCCCTAATTTCCGACAATTTGCAACCCGCGCACGTCGCGTTTGTCTGTGCCACAAATTGTTGGAAATGAACCATGATGTATGTGGAGAGCTGGCGGAGGTGCGAATGGCCCTAATTAGCATATGAATGCAGCGAAACCGCGGGTGGCCGAGCGGAGGCGGGCTTGAATATCCTTACTCCTTATTACATTACATTACATTACATTACATTACATTACAGGTCATTTAGCAGACGCTTTTATCCAGAGCGACTTACATTACACTTTAAACCCATGGCTTTTTCACATTTTTGCCCGGGGAGCAATTAGGGGTTAGGTATCTTGCTCAGGGACACTTCGACATGGAACATGGGGCAGCCTGGACTCGAACCAACAACCTTGTGCTTCCCAGCACACCAGCACACCTTCTCTAACCCCTGCGCCAAGACGACCCAGCGCCCGTCGTCGTGGCGCAGGGGTATTGGCGCAGGGGTATTGGATGAAACCACAAAATAAAATCACTCGTGATTGGCAACAAAACCACACCTGGGCAGACCAGGCTTGAGTTTCCTTGTTCATGATTGGATGAAACCACAACTTTCAGTCACTCGTGATTGGTTGGCAGATCTGTCGCTATTGGTCACCCACCTCATTTTATTTATATATATATTTATATATTCATATTATGCTGTATATTAATTTCATTGTTATCCTATGTAGGCTACTACACTATTATTAGGATACCAACCAGGACATCAATGAATTTATAGAGAAAATGAACATTTGCCACATTTTTATGCAAAGAAAGAGCTTTATTAACAACACACAAACAACAACTACATACAAAGTGAGGATCTGCCCACACTTGGGTAACGGCGGTTTAAAAACTACAGCTCAGTAAACTGTCCGTTTGCCTCTCTCGGGTTGTAGACCGTCAACTGGCGCCGTGTTTTCCGAGCCAGGTCTGTTGTGCAGGCCGCTCGGTGCGGGGCTGCTGTATTTCTGAGTCGCCTCTAACCGAGACTGACTCTATATGAGCGCTAGCCGTAACATCCACCCCGAGACCCCGCCAACAACGCCATCCTCTCCGTCTGACGTGAGCTCTACGGTGGCGGATTTCCAGAGTTCCACCTCGTCATTAGCCAGCACACTTTGTCTCGATTCCAGCAGCTGTAAAAACAACAATGTATCAGTACTGTGCGATGCGTACGGACACAACACATCTATCAATGCACCTGAAAAAAAGTCAGCAAATAAACTCTTTCTTCTACCCTTCGCTCGACTCCGCGCTGAATCCTTCGCAGCTTCCGCCCGCAATGAGTGTTCCGGCTGAACCTAAAGCTCCTGCGTACCGTCTCAAAATACGTCTCACAGGCGGCTGGAAAACAATTAAATGAGTGTGGTATGAATAAAAAAAACCAAACGCAAGTCACAGTAACATTTAACAAGGAAGGAGAAACAGTAAACAGTGTCACTTACACACAATGACGTCGTCTAAATCTGGACTTTTCCCGGAGCAAATACGAGGTCACCGCCTCATTATGAGGCGAGATTAGTCTGTGAAAACAAAATGTACAGTTATGATCGGTATCCATCCTATGGTATCTATACGTGTATATTTCCTTATACCGCAGAATGAAAGCATATTCTTTAAATCTTACCCTTGCTCCGGTTCGTAGCGCCTGTAATTCATCTCGGAGTTGTGAAGACGGCGCACCGCTTCCTGTAAACGACACGGCAAAGAAAATACACTTTAATAAAGCTGTTTCTGCTCACTTGTAAGGCTACTAGGCTACTCTTAGCTTTCGTTTTAGGCTACGCTACTTTTAGCTTAGCTTGCAGTCATCGAACGTATTCTTACCGCTATCGTGGGATTGTGCGCCCGTCTCCTCTTCTTTGAGTCAGTTCCTCCAGAGCCGCCGACTTCTCCTCCATGGACAGAAACCTGGAGAGTCCCGAACGCTCCAGTGGAGCGAACCGCTCGTTGATATCGGCAGTTTGTTGTTGGAGTTGACGAGACAATCCACTGAGAGCATTCAGCAGTTTCTTCTCGTCTGTCTGTGGACTGGCCGAAAGTTGCTGACCGCGGAGAGGAGTTGAAGGCGAGACGTCGTCCAGCCATTATTCACGAACCAGCAAAAACAAAACAAAGAAACTGGAGATACAGTTCTTCTGAATATAGTAACACACACGTGTCTGTTTGTATGCTCGTCTTGCAAGTACTGCTGTATCAGTCATGCCTATGACCTCACACGTGATTGGACGAGGAGTCTAAGGGTCCTCCAATCACATATGAGGTTATTGTTATACGGAAGGACCAGTATTTTAGGAAGACAAATGGTTGGGACTTTGAAACAGCTGATATGCTTTATGTAAAGCAGTGTTTTGGTGTCAGCAGAACGACTTTCCCTAGAAAACTGTACAGTGGTGCCTCTTTCTCCATTCCACCAGACAATCTTGGATGAGTCTGACATACATGCAATGTTGACAATGTATCATCAGATGTACCCTTGTGTCACTGAGGTGGAATGTTTTGCCATGACATGTAACCGGGTAACATATATGAATGTAACTTACTCAATCGACAGATGCAGAGCAGAAAGGTCAGCATGTGTTCATGCTAAGTGGTGTGGAAACACTAACAGTTTTGAGGAACCCGTCCTTGACCCTCTAGCAGAACTACGACCAGCCATTATAAAGCAGTTTATAGTTGTTAATGTTGTGTCAAAGGGTACGGCATTTAAACATGTTCGTGCACACGTTTCCTGGCTTCATTCCCACCCGGACAGACATTTTTATGGAAAGCCAATAGAAGTTTGGGGCTTGCAGGGAACAGACACGTCATACCCAGCATCATTTCTGCCAGTTGAGCGCATTGCTAGAAGATGTGTGGTTAATACATCCTCTGTGCATTTAAGTAAGACCAAAGAAAAGGTCACTGTAGTCCTGCCACTATGCACTGTAGTTGATCTCTAGGAGACTGTGATCTCTGCAGACCCCTCATGCTGATTCAAATGTTGTTTGCATGGAATGCTCATTTTACCTTGATTAAAACAATTTTTTTAAAGAAGTTATTTTGTGTATCTTTTTTACATAACATTTGCCATTGCTAATGGCGTACACAGTAATTTGACAAATGGTCAAAATGGGATACGAGAAAACACTAGACCGGATAATGACCCGATTTTATTGGGGGACGTGCGCCGCCAGTGCGCGTCCTGCCCGGAGTGTCAGTTAGTGAACGCTTCGGCCATTCCGAGGGCGACGTTGCGTCCTCTGCCGTTGGTGGAGGTTCCTTTCGAGCGGATCGGTAGGGACCTCATCGGGCCGTTTCACCGTAGCGCGCGCGGATATCGCTTTGTGTTAGTTCTCGTGGATTACGCAACGCGTTATCCGGAGGCAGTGCCGTTGCGCAATATCTCTGCAAAGAGCCTCGCTGTTACGTCCCCTGTTCTGTGTATAGGTATGTGTTCTGTTTCGTGTGCGTGTGTGTGTGTCCGGTCATACAGGTGGTCCTGATCATCCATGATCTCCGTTCATCTTGGCTCCACCCACTCTCGTTACCCGGTTCAGCTGTTTCCACTCATCTCCAATCCCATCATGCCCTTCTGTTTGTTTCACCCGGGTGGGTGTCACTGGTTGTGTGTATGAGAGTGCTGGTGTATGGTGGGGTAGTTATTAGTTCTGGTGATTTTCTGTACTGTGTATTCAATTAATTGTTTTTTTCTTTTGTTCTTTTTCTTACAGGGGGATGAGGAGTAGTTTAGCCCTGCTCCGGAGTTTACATACCTGCACGTAGGGTTACTCTCCTGTCTAACAACACTAGCTACACCTGGCTGGGCCACCTACTGTAAGTTTGGTTAGGGCGCCTTGTTAGTGTGCCAGTTAGTGGTTTTCGTTGGGAGATAGGGAAGGGGGTGGGAGGCATTTTGTTCTTTTCTTTGCTTTGGTACCGCCAGCCCTCCTCATTTCCCCTGTTAACAGCGCTTAAATAAAAGCCTGCTTACCCCAACTTCAGGTGATGTTTGTTTTCTTGCACCTACGACGCCATACCCGTTTACTGGTCACAGGACGTCCTCGGGCAGTGGCGTGAATCCCACTCCCCTCCTGGGGAGTCAGAACGTAACAGTCGCGCAGGCTCTGTTTCAGGTCATCTTCCGAGATGGAATCCCTAAGGAGATTCTGACTGACCAGGGCACCTCGTTCATGTCGCGCACACTGAGAGAACTTTACGGGTTACTGGGCATTATGTGCATTCGTACGAGGGTGTATCACCCACAGACGGATGGGCTGGTGGAACGCATGAATAAGACTCTGAAGTCTATGATCCGTAAATTTATTACTGACGAACGTAATTGGGACCACTGGCTTGACCCTCCTAAACTCCTAGCCAAGCGGCAAGGGCCCTTCGAGGTCACACGGCAGGTGGGGGACGTCGACTACAAGGTGGTGCGGTCTGACAGGGGCGGCAGGGTGAATGACGTGTCACGGTTCGATGCCTACCCAATGCCCCGGGTCGACGAGCTGGTGGGCGTGGTTTGGCTCGGCTGCAGAGGGGACGGAGAAGGGAGTGGCTCAGGGAACGGTGGAGGCAATTGGCCTCAGCTCAGCTGATTGCACACTAACTGTTTATATTGTAGTTTTAAAATGCAGTAGCGGAGAGTGGGCGAGAGAGCGAGACGCCGGGAGAGCTCGCAGATTCTGCATAAAGAAAAGCACCAATGAAAATGATTTTCAGTTGGATCGCAGGAATATAAATCGATTAATCGATTCAGTGAATGAATTGTTACACCCCTATTGGTCAACCAATAAAAAAAAGCAGAAAAAACTCCGACCCCTGATACTAAAAGTATGATAAAATAGTATTTATTTCACAAATACAAGTAAAGGAAGAAAAAGAAAAACGTATACTGATATTTGTCATACACGTAAAGGGAAACAAATATAATGTACATGAGAATGGATGCCTGAGTGTAATTTGAGCTTTGAGAACTAAAAACAAAAGGCTCCAACTTTCATCACATACTGCAGAGGAACATAGACAAACCGAGAATACCACAAAATTTTCCACAAAAACCTAAAACACAACTACTATGAAACAAAGATAGGAATTCATGATAACACTCCATGGAGACAAGAAACAAATCACTTTGAGCCATGAATACAGGGAAATCCCCGAACGCTGCACATTGCCCACACGATTCAGTCTGATGGAGGGGTTATATCCCATGTGACTAAAAAATGTATCATTAGAAATAACATTTTTAAAATGTCTTTCTCACTTTTATTTTATTGTTCCGATTTGAAAGATACAAACTTTGTTACCGGTGAAACCCAGCAATTATGAAAAATTGCCACCATTATTTTGCATTTAAGTTCAATTGTGTGACTAGTTAAAATGCTCAGTGTGTTACAAAGCCATAGTAAAGAATGGGAAAAAAAATTCAATATACAAGTTATTTGGACTGACTTGCATTTAAAGAAATTATTGGTGAATATACGAGGTAATATAGTGATTAAAAAACCCCAACATCCATTACTGGCTAAGCCATTAACAATTTTATAATGCAGCGAATTGCACGAATAATTTGACTCTTATTATCTTACAAATTTGCCTCCAATTCAAACAAAGTATAAGATCTCTGAATGTCTCCAGGATCACTGTGGGGGGGTTAAAGTGAAAGTTGGGACAAGACGTAATTAGTATTGTACTAATTTAACACTTTGCCTGTACACTTATAGTACAGTAACACATATTTTGATCATGAACTGAATTGTGTTGTCAGTTCTTCTGTTTAGATTTCTTGTACAAAAATATTTTAACGTAATTTTTCAATTAAATAAAAAACATCATTTGTCTAATGGGTTACACAATTGGAATTTATAATTATATTATAATTATTATTTTATAATAGAATCCAATTGTGAAACCCATCCCAAATTATGTTTTTGATCTGCAAAATTACAATCAACAGCCAATTTGTCTAATAACACAATGTCTGTGAACCCATGCCTTAATCATACTTCTTTTAACATATATTATGATGACATACATGAAAGGATTTTTTAAAGCCTGGAACCATGCATGATATGTGGAGCTAGCTTTTGAGAACACACAGTTCAAACTGGAAAAGGTTTCATCCACCTTGTATTCTTTTAATCAATGAATTAATCAGTCAAATCAAATCAAATCAATCAAATAGTTAATAACAAGATTTAATTGACTAACAAAATATTGACGTATTATGGAAAACATAGCAACACAACATGAAAAGTACTTACTTATATTTAAGTATATTTAGTTATTTTAGATACTTTTTAATTTAAATTTTTTTCAGCAAATTTGCAGAAATGCAACACCACCAGACTGATGACACAGAGAAAATCTTATTTGTCAATGCGAGTAGTAGAACCCCTCACATCAGCTGCAGACAGGACACTTGGTTAACAAAACTAAACCACATATACTCTTCAACAAAGGTATTTCAGGCCTTTCTTGCAGTGAGGACTAGACGCCAGAGAGCATTAAGTTTTCTCCAGCTGTTCCGATGCGACACACAAGAGAAGTGAACTGAGAGAGAAGGCCGGGAGCAGTGACTGTGAAAGCCTACTCACCCTCAAAGCTAAGTCAAAGCTAGCGGTGCAGCTAGAAACACCCATGAGGTCAGTGACACGCTGACCATATTTCCCATGGATCAATTTATATTGGTAACAATAGTTTGATGAAGCTATAGTCATACTGTGGACACAAACATGCCTATAAATGACCATTGCAACTATGTGCAAACCACAAAGGTAAAGGCTGTGACATCAGTGTGGGTTTTGGTTCCAAAGACACCCGTCAGCACCCTACAGGCAGGAAAATGGCTCTGTAAAAAGTTGTGTGTATGTGTGTGTAAACTTTATTTAATAATACTGAAATTATTGGATGACACAGACCAAGAAATAAGCTAGTAGGGGTTGTTTGGATTTTAGACAGGTGTGCTGAATATCTAAAGTTTAGTATACTCTTTTACTACTGCTAATTTAGTATCTATGTGAGTTATAATGCTGATGGTTTGTGAAAGGCCCGTATCTCTCCTTCCCTCCATGTGGGTCTTTCACAGACATTCAGTAGTAGTGGATGGATACAAAGAGGTATGGCAAAAGACAGAACTGTACTAAAGATGTCAGTCAGACAAAACATGTATATTATGCAACATATAATCACTTGTTGTAATGAAATAATGACCCACACTGGACCATATGCTCCATGTCCAGCCCCTCAGGTCATCAGCTGAGACCATTAATGCCCATAGTTGCTGCTTTGGCATCAGATGCACACACACTCATACAGAGAGACTGGCGGTTATGCTTCCTTCACAGAATTGAGTCAGTCAGTCGGTGTAATAACGGACATTAATCCACTGCTCCACTCATAACATTACATGAATCTAGAAGAATAAAGTGTGTGAATTTCTTGGTGGGAGAGAAGAAGAAAGAAAACAAAACCTTCCCCTCTCCATAAACCTCTGCACTTCCTGTTCTTACATGTTCATTAAAAGTTCAAGAAATGTTGCTCCTCTCAAAAATAGGGGGAGGAGTCGGTCGGCCTTAAGCAGCGTTGTTTGTTACTAAACTCAGTCAGTCAGGTTTTTTATTTGGTGAAATTATACTTCTGCACACCGTTGCCTGCATGGGTTTATCCCTGCCTTGAATCGTGGCAGATGCATTCTGGTTAATGTTGTTGAATAGGGACGGTCAGCTTGCTACAGCCCTAGAACGGGCTGAAAAGGACGCTTGAAATCTACCCGAGGAGAGGAGCAGATGAGAGATATGGGGAGAGGGGAAGGTAGAGGTGAGGAGAGAGAACATAAAATAAGTTAATGTGATACTTATAATAAGTGTGTGTGAGGCGTTTAACCACACTGTTGACTGTCTCAAACTGCAGATGCAGCCCACTTCGACCGATCGTGGGCCAGACCATAACGGTCGAGGGAGGGCAGGAGCGCTGACAATCCGAACGGCGGAGGCTAGTCGCCATGCATAGGTCTAAAACTATATGTTGTAAAAGCTTAACTAAGAACATATGTGCGGCCATCGGTGAGAACTCAATATATTCACAACCTGTGGGCAACAAGACAAATTCAATGTGACGCACAACGGGAAGAAAAAAGATGATTATCTCACGTTAGATTGGCATGGACTTCATCTTGACCATAGAGGTGAGTTCCTGTTTGGTTATATGATCATGCCGCCTCTGTCTCACCCTGTAAAAAATGTAAAAAATATTTGAAATGCCATGCTTTGGGAAAAAAAGAACTCAGAGAGGCCACACGGATGTGGGATGTTTGTGTCTGTTTGTCTGTCTTACCACACGACAAAGATAAGGGAAAGGACGATGGTGAGGATGACCACAGAGAGCATAACCAGTAGAATCACGAAACCCAAATTACCTTCATCCTCAGGATGTACAGAATCTGAATGGGAAGACAAAACCATGGAGGGTCAACACAACAAGTGGAGGATACAGAGAGAGAGAGAGAGAGAGAGAGACATACACAATATAAAGTAATTAAGAAATAAAATGGAATAAGACACAGTTCAGATTGCAGATTGCTGTTTTGTGTTGTGAATAGACATTTCTAGGATTATTTTTTTCATCTACTTGTTGGAGGCAAAATAAAGGGAGAAAAAGAAATAGTCTTATGTTTGTCTCTGTGTGTTCTTGGATTTTATTACTCCCCGGCCAGAAGTTCATTTTATATTTACTATTACAGCTTTCAGACAAACATGCACTTCAGAGATCATCGAGAGAGTGAAAAAACAACTCTAGTGCCGATGTTGTTGAAAAAGTGAAACGAAACAACAACAAGAAGGAAAAAAAGCACGGACACAGTGAATGACGCACACACACACACACACACACACACACACACACACACACACACACACACACACACACACACACACACACACACACACACACACACACACACACACACACACACACACACACACACACACACACACAGAGACAAGCATCACTTTCGGCTTCCACTCCATTATGTCCCTTGTGCAGTCCCTGACAAAAGTCTTGTCACTTATCCATTTTGTAGAAACAACAGCTTGTAACCTGACTTTTAATTAATCCATTGGTTTTAGAAATGGCTCATATGAAAGCCAAATCCCTTCCCAATTTGCTTCACTTAAAAAAGATTGATCATTTAATGAACACAGAAAGGTCAAATTCTGGCAAGAAGTTTTGTCGCCTACAGAGAGTGATGTGAAATATGAACAAATAAGTTACTTACTAAACACAAAAATATGTTGCATAACATCAGTGAATTTAGTGGTGCTGTGAGATCAATATTTAATATCTTCTATGACTTCCATGAGCTTGAAGGACTGCATCCATGCGATTCGACAAAGATTCATACAATTTATTGATGATCAGGAATAGCAGTCTTGCCTCCCAGAGTTCATCAAGATTCTTTGGTTTTGTCTTCCAGGCTTCCGCTTTCATTCTACCCCAGACATGCTCAATGATGTTGAGTTTTGTTTGGAACCAAAACATTATTTCAAAAGCTGTTGGGACTGAAATTAGCCATTTCTTGATTACAAATATATTTGAGGGGCACTTAAGGTCAACTTGTACCCAAGCGACAGGACTTTTGTCAGGGACTAATACTGAATACTGTACAGCTGGTATGGAGCCAAATCCAGGTCAAAAGTTTTGTTCATTTGAAAAACAAATGTGAACCTGGAAGTTTAGGTTTTGCTCTTGCATGTATTCAAAATAAAAAATAAGTACACAAATTTTATATTTTCAGATTCAAAAGTTATATTTTCACTTTTAGATCTTTCTTTTCACGTTCGGATTAATTTTTTTTCACATTCAGACTTTTGACCCTGATGTGGCGTAGGGGGCGGGGCATCAACTGGGAGGGACGTGTAATCATGAGTGACAGGTTCCTCAACCGCATTGCCTTCAGGGGACCTAGGCACGCGACACTTCAACACACTTTCTTTTCACTATATTTAAGATTGGATGTAAAACCATTGACGCCAGAGACAAAGTTTGTTTAGCCAGCTGTTTTGGATCCTACTTGCCATGAATCGCAGAATAAGACCAATCAACTATCTCAGAATGAAGCATTCTGAATGAAGCAACACATGAATCTCTGAAGTTTCCCACTTAAGCCTAGTTTATGCTTTTGCGTTTTCAGAGAGACGCAAGGACACACAGACGGAAGCGTCCCTTGCGTGCCTTTTCACCGCTCCTTGCGTGCGTCGACCCATTTTTCTAGACTAGCGTCAAAAGCTACGCAAACCTCCTGCAGCCCGCAAGGCTGTGATTGGTCTGCTAACTACCGTATTTTCCGCACTATAAGGCGCACTTAAAAGCCTTAAATTTTCTTTATATATGGATCAATTGGTTGATCCACACTGGTTGTACACGGCGCTCAAGGCACTCTGTCAAAATGTTTCAGTATGAAAAACCAATAATATGTTTCAGTACGACTGGTAAACTACAAAGCCGCACCGCTTGCAGCATTACGGCTACCGTAGTCAGTAACCACCGATACTGTGCTTACTAACAGTTAGGGTGACCAGACGTCCTCTTTTCCCCGGACATGTCCTCTTTTTGAGACCCAAAAAATGCGTCCGGCAGGGATTCCAAAAACGTCCGTGATTTTGCTTCGTTGGATATTTGTGTTTCTCTGGGTCTTTCACAAACTAGTTATTCCGCCCTTAAGTGTTGGAAACGGTGTCTCCCTTACGTTTCACCTTCTTGCGCGAGCTTTGACTGTAGAGAGAACAGTAATTGGTCGACTGATCTCAATGTTGCCAGGTGCACGATAATTATCCTCCAAATTTCCAAGGTAAAACCAAGTAAAACGCTTGACTGCAGTATTTTATGCGTTTTATAATCCGGTGCGCCCTATGTATGACATTTTTTCTAAAATAGGTCATTCATTGAAGGTGCGCCTTTTAATCTGGTGCGTTGTATAGTGCGGAAAATACGGTACATCCTTTCCAGTTTCACAGCACAATACCGCCATTATTAAAACGAAGATTTTTTGCGAGAGAATTAATCAGATTGAAGAGCTTTTGTCGGAAGAAATCCGTACATGTGACGACTTCTACAACCCGTGATTGGCGGACTATAAGGACGCGTGGATGGCCTCCGATTCATGGAGGGAGATCTCCACAAACGTCGGTTTGCCGGTCGAGGGGTGCACAAAGTTGTGGAGGAAAATACGGGACAAATATGTCCGCAATAAAAAGCAGCAGTGGCGATGCACGGGGCAATAAAGTCTATGATAAATAAATAAACAAACCAACGACTTCCACACACAAAGACGTGACTCTCTAGGTCGTCTTCGACAAAAAACGTTACTCCAAGCCTTTTAGAACCATGAATTGAAACGAGTGCGTCGACACGACGAGCATGCGCCAGCCTTTATAAACCTTTACACAAACAACTGTGAACGCAGCGCAGCATCCATGCGATGGCGTCTGAGTTGGCAAAATATTCACCAGCTTCGGATCGGATTCAAGACCAAAACCTAAACTTTCAGGTTCGCATTTGTTTTTCAAATGAACAAAACTTTTGACCTGGATTTGGCTCCATTAGCTGGCACATGCTTACAAATGCACACTAATATAGTATATAAACATTGTATATGTCATTTAATTTTCACCCCTGTCCATGTGAGCTACTCTGCACTCACATTTTCATCCAGGGAGAGAACTTAATACCCCGCAGGTACAATTTAAGAGGAGCGACCTTTGATCAACTCAACTTGTGTTAATAATTCTACCTTAAAATTAGATGATGAATGTTTTGGTCTTTAATATTATGACACAGGTTTTAGCCTGTGCTTTTCCTTTCTGGAAGACTATGACAACAGCGGTAGTAAACACATTAGATGAGATAGCAGTGTAGTAGCAGTGGGACATTTACTTTGAGCATCAGCAAGAACAATTGCTTATAAATAAGAAAAAGGAAAGTCAGTAATTGTACCTCTGTTTAGTTACAACATAAATACACTATAGTATTGGTGTTACACTGGAATACAATCACTGATATATCATTTGAAATTCCAAAACGCAGCAGCCTGGGTTTGAATCTGACCCAAATACTCCCCTCTGCCCCTGCAGTCCTCAGCCGAGCTGCCAGATGAAGGCAGAAAAGCCCCCAAAATGACTTGATGTATATGAATAACCTGACTTACTGTGTGACTTTGGGGTTGATATTTCCGGTTTGGTACTGAAGGGGAACAAATTGTCTGCAAAGGTTTCCTCTGGCTGGAGCTCCTCTGGAGATTCAGTTGTGGAGTAGACTGCTAACACAACACACGCACACACACACACACACACACACACACACACTTTAAGTAATGTATTCTAGTTAGTAACAAGGAATGTGCAGATTATTTTTTAGATTCATCTTTTGCTTTATTATTTAATGAGATCTAAGCTTTTGGTTCATGAAACCTCAGAAAATAATTCATATGACCCCCAAGCAAGGTGACAGTTTTATTGAGTTTCATTGTGATGTTGGTCCATTATGATTTTAAAATGTCCTCACTCTGTGGAGCACTTTTCTCCATGTTTGAGGCTTTTTAATGTGCTGCAAAAACAAACAGAATCCGGACGTAGACCTGGACATTGTTTTCAAATATTCGCTGACCTTCCCAAGGCCTGACCAGAAGCAGGGGACTCCATTCACTCCACTTGCTGTCAGAGATCAAGTCGTCTCTGGCTTGGATCTGAACCTGGTGGAGGTGACCAGCGAGGGCGTCAGTTATGACAACGGGACTCTCCAAGGACAAAACCTGTTTGATGGCGAAAGAGAAGGGATTTCTTGTGGGTTAACATGAGATAACCTCTCCATCTGATACGGACAAGATCTTAATGTTTTTTTCTTCTTAAATGACTCTGAGCAATTTATTATCTAACCATCATATAACAAAATTTGATTGGCATAAACATTTGGATAAAAAATATCATTATGAAAATTCCACTTTTTTAGTGCTTCTACACGATAATTTGGCATGTCTACCGACCCCAAAACTCTGGAAAATTCTCAAAATCCCACAATTTGCTTTGGTTCTTGTACGTCAGAAAAGTCATGCTTGAGTGACTTCCTTATCATTCTCTCGTCAAAATGAAATGTGAATCCCCCCCCCCATCTCATCCCCCTGCTCCCTTACACTCAATAAAGATACTGTAGCGTCTTTGGTGTAGTGGCTCACTCACAACACAGAGGCGGAAGGCTGTGCGGGCAGGAATCCTCTTATTCTTTTTCAGGAACACAGTGAGAAGACACGCTATCTCTATAAGCTGTAATTACTTACTCTTCTACCTAATTCGTACCTAATTAGACCACAACACAGGAATGGGAACGCCTCCCCTGATCTCCCCCAATTACTGGCCAGTGCAGTAATTCCCCATGATTGCCCAGAGTGAAGGGGATGACGTGACATGCAAAACTAACACACACACATACACACACACTCCTGAACAGGGTTGCTACGATACGATATTTGCCAAAGCAATTCACTTGGTTTTGGAAACCTCGGATACACTTGGAATAACTAGCATGAAGCAAATGGAGCCCTCAAGATGCGCTGTGGTCGGCTGCACAGATTCGCACAGAGGGGAGAGGGGGGAGTTGGTTCATTAGCATTTAAAGGAATAGGCGCTCAAAACAGGTCACTATGTGGAGGGCTGTTTTTGACAGCGTAAAAAGGGTGCTGTTTTACATGATCATTTTGACCAAAGTATGTTACAGACATTTCATCAAGACCCCAAGAACCACATCAACTTGGGGTAAAATGGGCAGACGATATGCCCTTTAATATCTTTTAAATCTGCAGTAGCATAGAGGCATCATTCTTTTTTATAGCTACAGCCCCATATTAGATTTTTTCTTTGTAACCAACCACAAAAAAGTGAAAACATGTGTATGACGTTTAGCTTTAAACTTTAAATGTCTTTAAAACAACCTGTATACAGCGCATTTGTGTGTCGAGATGTTAAATCCAGACTGCACTGAAATGAAGCTTACTGACCTCTGACCAGTACATGGAGCCATTTGGCTTGTATCTGATGTGAAATATGAGAGGGAAAGCATCATCCAGCGGCCAGGAGACAGGGTAGTCCCATGAAACAATCAGTCTCTTCGGGTGGCCCTTTAGGGCCTCCACCATCAGAGACTGCGGAGGGTTCGGTTGCACTGCAAACAAGGACAGAGAGAGAAAAAGACATTTAGCTTGTGGGAAAGTGAACCCGTTTTTTATAGGGGTGTAACGATTCATTAACTGAATTGATTAATCGATATATATTCTTGCGATCCAACTGAATCGATCCGTGCTCCGCAAATCGGCATTCCGGATGACATATATCGATTACAAATCGATTGAAATGGTACATAATCGATTGTATCGATACTTGGAAACTGCACATTGGATTTAAGTACAAAAACAGTATGGCCGTGTGTTTGTTTGTTTGTTTTTTAGCACTTTAGACACGTTAACCGTTACTCGATTCAGTCTGCCTGTCTGTGACGTCATCAGTACGCAGCGGCAGCCGCGCGAAACTCTGAACAACAACAAAACACAGCATGGAGGAGACGACTGCGAGCAAGACATTTACAAACCAACTTATCAATCCAGCGTGTGGAAACATTTTAGTTTTTGCAAACACATAGGAGTTCTAAATAAGTCGGTCGCTGTTTGTAGAACATGTAGAAGCCAAATAAAAAAACACGGAAACACAACGAATCTTTCTGGCCATCTACTAAGGCGCCATACGATTAAACAACGCCGACAGTCAGGCACCTCTATCAGCGTTACCGCTGCAGCAGCAGACGGTAACTCCAGCTCTGCAGACACCTCAGGCCTCGCCAGCACGAAACTCAACATCACAGTAACAATTGCCAAGTTTATCTGTAAAGACCCTACAATGTGGTTGAAAATCCGGGGTTCTGTAAATTGATCCAAACGTTGTGTAATTATTGTGTAATGTTTACATTGAAAATGGCACTTGATTTAAATAAAAGGTTAATACATTTGCCATTAATTGTTGTTTGCTTGTTTATAATATCCATAATTAATTTAAACCTGATTTCCTTACAAGAAACAACAGGGATCTCAGAAAATTTGCCTGCACTGTCCAGTAAAGTTACTGAATCGATTTCAAGTCACTGAATCAAATCGAATCGAATCATTCGAATCGTTCTTCTAAATCGTTCTAAATCGTTCTAAATCGAATCGGCAACCATGAATCGCAATTCGAATCGAATCGCTGTTAAAATGAATCGTTAGACCCCTAGTTTTTTAGCTTCTTTAAAGACGTGATTCCTGCTGTGTATCCCTGTATTGTTTTTAAGGCGTGCATAATGTAAATGTCTCTGAAGTGTGGACCACAAAGCAGGAATGAAAAAACATTTCCCTTTCATGTGTGTGTGTTTTTAATGTAATCTTACATTGCTTGTATAATGTAACCCTGTGAGATGTTGTCTCGGACCCCAGGGCATTGGTCTCTGTGATTCTCAAGGTGTGGATGGTCTGCCAGAAGGAAGGATGATTCACATCGCAGTGCTTGTGGGCCACATCCAGGACGCATGGCTTCTGATCCTGACTTATCCCCCTTTAAAGGAAACATAGACAAAACGAAGTGTTGCGTGACGTCGGGTCACGGACGACTCAAGTGAGCAGAAAAGCTGCGGAAATATTGTAAGCTTCAGTTTCCTCAGCCAGTTGTGATGTCTAGAGAAGGTCGGGATACCACTTGATTCAAAACCTGACATCTGTGGCACATGCGTTGTATTATCTATTTTGCCGTTGCCCTTTGAATGTGGGCTCGGCTCGCGGGAACTCGCTCTCACTTGAAGGTGGCGTTGTACTCTGCTGGCAGGAAGGTCTTTACCCGCTCCGTCCAGGAGCAGCGAACATGCGTGTGATTGGGAACTTGGCAGGAAACGTTCAGCTTCCCAGGGGGGTCTGGGAGGAGAGAGTCAGACAGTTTATTGTCAGTAGAGAGAAAGTATTCTTTTTACAAGGTGCTTCTATTAAATGTAATATTTGAAATGTGTCTATGTCTCTTCCTCAGGTCTTCCCTATTGTGAACTAAAAATATTTCAGGAGTGCCTTGGAAAAAGTCCCCGTTCTCAGTAAAAGGAAGTCCACTTAAGGGAGCCGCTTCCTGTTCCAGACAGTTACAGGAAGTTGAGGGCTTTTGTCCATGTGTGGGTCGGTTTCCTCTGAGCAGCGCTGATCTGATCATGGCCGCTTAGAATAACGTGCCTTGTCGGAGCCAAAAATGCCAGCATGAATCTGATGTTAGGAAGGAACTCATTCATTAATAAAATAAGGGAGGGAGAGAAACATACTTTTTAATATGAAAGATGTGGATGAGAATATGTTGAGGCTAACTGAAGAGAGAGACGAGAATGTGCAAGCAGGGGAAAGATTACATTATGATTTTATGCTGACTCATCCAAAAGACTACACTCAAACAGGAAGAATTGGGGTACTGTCTAAAAGGACCCACACACGTTTCTACAGCAAAGACTCTCTTAAAAGGCTGCACGCTCATGGTGAGAGACTAATAGTATGTCGGAGGAATTGAATGTATCTTTTACGTTGTTCATTCTGTACACATGACATCTATTGTAGTCTGTCCATCCCAGGAGAAGGATCCTTCTCTGCCGTTCTCCCTGAGCTTTCTTTCTGTTTTTCTCAAGGAGTTTCTCCTGTGCCGATGTGAGGGTTTTGGGACAGAGGATGTTGCATATGTACAGATCGCAAAGCTTTCGATTTTGGGGTACACAAAATAAAATGGATTGAAAGCTGGTAAAAGAGTAGCAACTCCCAAAAGAGGCACCGCAGCCGGGACGAGTCACAACACAACGGCACTCACAGCCCAGCCGCAATCTGATGAAGTAGAGGAGGAGCCCCCGGCTGTCGTGGCAGCTGTAGTTGCCTTGCGCCGAGTGGTCGGCGTGCAGCAGCACCAGGGTCCCGTCAGAGGTCACTTGGTGCCACGGCAGCACTGTGCTGTGGTCGAGACGCCATGTCACAGGCACCCTGGTCGGGAACACAGAAAGCTCCAGTTATTAAGCCTAAACGAGGACTGAGCTCTTTAAAGCAGTCCCCTCCCAAAGACGGGGCCCTGCATTGGGTCAGTATTTGTTCCAGTCTTTTACTTACATTTTAATCTGCACTTTACCTTTGAGCCACATGAGGGAGCCTGGATGTTTGTGTTGTTCTTATTATTTCACAAGGTACGTATTATGACTTTCAACTGAACTCCCTAAAAGCATTTGTTTGGTCTCAGTTATAAAGGAAATAACATGTCAAGTGGGTACGGAACATATTCAGATCGCTTTAAATGTTTCACTCTTTGTTTCACTGCAGCCATTTGCTAAAAATCAAAAAAGTTCATTTTATTTCTCATTAATGTACACTCAGCACCCCATCTTGACAGAAAAAAACAGAAATGTAGAAATCTTTCCAAATTTATTAAAAATGAAAAAACTGAAATAGCTCATATTTAACTCACATGCTGTCCTTTTCTTCTGATCCTCCTTGAGATGGTTCTACTTCTTCCATTGGAGTCCTGCTGTGTTTAATTAAACTGATTGGACTTGATTAGGAAAGGCACACACCTGTCTATATAAGACCTTACAGCTCATAGTGCGTATCAGAGCAAATGAGTATCATGAGGTTGAAGGAACTGCCCAAGGAGCTCAGAGACAGAATTGTGGCAAGGCACAGATCTGGCCAAGGTTACAAAAGAAAAGTTCCACAAAGTCAACTATTGCTGCAGCCCTCCACCAGTCGGGGCTTTATGGCAGAGTGGACCAACGGAAGCCTCTTCTCAGTGCAAGACATATGAAAGCCTGCATAGAGTTTGCCAAAAAACACATGAAGGACTCTCAGACTATGAGAAATACAATTCTTTGGTCTAATGAGACCAAGATTGAACTTTTTGGCGTTAATTCTAAGTGGTATGTGTGGAGAAAACCAGGCACCGCTCATCACCTGCCAGATACAATCCCAACAGTGAAACATGGTGGTGGCAGCATCATGCTATGGAGGTGTTTTTCAGTTGGAGGGACAGGGCGACTGGTTGCCATTGAAGGAAAGATAAATGCGGCCAAGTACAGCGATATCCTGGAAGAAAACCTCATCCGCAGTGCTCAGGACCTCAGACTGGGCTGACAGTTCACCTTCCAACAAGACAATGACCCTAAGCACACCGCTAAGATAACAAACGAGTGACCATTCTTGACTGGCCCAGCCACAGCCCTGACCTAAACCCAATTGAGCATCTCAGGAGAGACCTGAAAATGGCTGTCCGCCAACGTTCACCATCCAACCTGATGGAACTGGAGAAGATCTGCAAGGAAGAATGGCAGAGGATCCCCAAATCCAGGTGTGAAAAACTTGTTGCATCATTCCCAAGAAGACTCATGGCTGTACTAGCTCAAAAGGGTGCTTCTACTCAATACTGAACAAAGGGTCTGAATACTTATGACGATGTGATATTTCAGGTTTTCTTTTTTTATAAACTTTGAAAAATTTCATATTTTTTTTCTTCTGTCAAGATGGGGTGCTGAGTGTACATTAATGAGAAAAAAATGAACCTGTTTGCTTGTAGCAAAGCGCTGCAATAAAAAAATAGTGAAAAATGTAAAGGTGTCTGAATACTTTCCGTACCCATTGTATGTTTTTCAATGAACACATGCATAAAATAAAGTTGTGATTTATCAAAATATTTCTTCTGAAAGGCTGGTTCACCGGTTTAAGACAATATAAAGTGGTGCATAAATGTTAAGTTAAGATGATCAGGAACATTCATTTAGAAAAACTCAAACTTTATAAACTTTATAAACTTTACTAAAGTTTATAATACATTTTGAAAAAATATGGATTGCCAATTAAAAAGCAGTAATATTGTATCATCCTAATTGCATTTCACAACTGTCATTTAAACAAAACGTCTGGTTTATTCTATGCATTTGTCACCCTCAACAAATCCCATGAGGAGACTAAGACATGTCAGTTTATCTTGCAATACTAGGTTCAGAAAATGTTCAGGACATGAGAATAACAACATAAGGCTCTACACACGTAAGAAAGCCCTTAGAAGGGTCTATCAACTACAGTATAACATCTTATTTGTGTGTTGTGTTTACCGACTTACAGCATCTTTGATATTTCTCCTATTCAATAATTGAAATTGAAAATAAATAAATCAAAGGAAATCTTCCAAACTTCCATTACTGTTGTAAATATCTCTTGGAAAAAAGAAACTGTTTTCTTTCCTCACCTGACTTGGGACTTCCCGCATGCCAGTGTCACATTTGACTGCATGTGCCCGTACTGCACGGCTGACGCTGTAAACAGGAACATCACAGAAAACGTTAGAGCGCACACTGCATACCACGCAGAAATACCATGTCTGCATTGTGTGTATCAATGTGATTTAAGTGCCGCCATTCACAGTCCAGTCCAAAGTATCACAATAACATGACCGTACAAGGTCTGGGATCCTGCGATGCTTGGTCGGGGGACGGGGGTGGCTTTGGCACCACGTATAAAGCTGCTCAAGGGTTTTATTTTTCTGACACTCCATCATCATCATTATGTATTAGCTGTATTAGCAGAACCACTTTAATATCTCTTTAGCCATGATAAGCAGTGTGGCATTTTGAGAAGGTATCAAGAACCAGACACAGATTAAAGCTCTGTTTAAAGTCCATGGCGCAGGCACTCAGGGTGTATCCTGCTCTTTGATTTGTGCTCCCCACAATGAGGCGCAAGGGGTCTAAGTGGTCATTATGCTGCTGCATGCATTGAGAATGAATATGTCAGCATATCTTTTTTGAATGACGTGTATGTTAAATAGTAGAAAAATACTGCGCCGGAGACTTTGACCAGGCTTTGTTTGGTAGGCGGCACAATCGCTATCCGCAGCTGGAAGATGTGTATCAACAATGCTTTGGAGCAATGGTTCTCAAATGAAGGTACGTGTATGGATTTTATTTTTTTTAATTTGCATCCATCAGGGTTAGGTTAGGGTTAAACCAGTATGTTATTAAATTTCGTTACCCTAAAAACCCAGATTCTCCCCATACTAGGATGCTTTGACTGAACCTGGCACACGACCCCCCTCATTACCCCTTAATCACTGCTACCATGACGAGGGGCAACCAACCTAAAGCTCTGTGTAGTTTCAGTGTTAACAGTTTAAGAAATCAGACACTGAAGGCACAATGCTGTGTATTTTTTTTTACCAAAACGGCTTTGGACTGCTTAGAGGGTACTTGGCTAAAAGAAATAGGTAGGGGGTACAAGTTTGCTGAATGTTTGGTGAGATCAAAGATATCACATGCATCGATGTATCTGAAAATATAAAATATTTTAGTAAAAGTTGACAGGTCAAGAACCAGCGCTTCTATGAATAAAATAACTGTTTGATTACTCTCAGCAGCTGCTGAGGCGCAGCAGGTTTGAGGCAAATAGTAAACGCAGTGTACGCCTGAGCAAATATCTTGTGGTGACTGCAGTAATTGATGCAGCTGATACTTGATCTCAGAGTGGGTGTGCATGTTTGGCTTGGCTGTGTGATAGGAAAAGCTGGCATTTACAGTAGATCGAAAAACAAAAAAGTCGAAAAACATCATTTTAACAGTGTGTCACGCACGCACCTTCATTAATTCTCAACATCAATCCCTAAGGCAAGCTCACTTCCTGCTGCTTTCCCCTTGCTTAGTAATAATCAATTTGTTCCAGCATTGCCTTGTTCTGTTTTTTTCCTTAATTTTTTTGACACCCCTTTAAAGTCGGGACTAAGTCACATTTTTGGTTTAGAAAATGGACTTGACGGTAAGGGGATCAGGCAGGGGAAACCTTATGGGAATGTTATCATTCAATGTGCTCTATTGGTATATCTATTGTACTACTTCTGTACTGTCGTACATTCAATTGGACACAAACTCAAGTCACGGAGGGCCTTGTCAATGCTTGGTTTTTACTCACTGACCTTCCTGTTGTTTGTTTTAGTTGCTGTGGGAAACAAGACACAGGGGAGAGGGGGACATTAAAGGTCTCCACAAGATTTGCGGCTACATTCATGTTTCTGAGTGGGGGGGGCGAGCAGAAAGGAGGACAATGACTTCTATTGTGTTTCATTTTATTTTTTTGCAAATGGAAAACAGTTCTGTTGCAGTGTGTGTGGGTAACAATTAGTCACATACCGGACAATGCATGGTTTATTAACCATGCATTGTCCGGTATCTGAGCAACGAAAACTTAGGCCTCTATGAACAAAGCTGTGTGATAAGATACATGTAGACATCACAGCCAGAGATTTATTGGGTTTCATGTTTGTATTTTCATAGTTCTATCCATAAGCAAAGGCTGAGATCATGGAAGCAGCACAAGGCCAAGGAAAAGAGCGGACCGATTATTCAAATCATTGGAAGGTTAGTGACTTTAATGTATATATGTATAACGGCTCCCCACACCCTGAAGCATTGTGCTGACCAGCTGTCTCCGGTGTTCACTGACATCTTCAACATCTTCTTGGAGACATGCGTACCAGCCTGCTTCAAAGCCCCCACCATCATCCCTGTTTCCAAGAAGCCCAGGATCACGGGACTTAATGACTACAGGCCCGTCGCCCTGACCTCTGTAGTCATGAAGTCTTTTGAACGGCTAGTCCTGTCCCACCTGAAGACCCTCACTGACCCCCTCCTGGACCCCCTGCAGTTCGCCTACAGAGCCAACAGCCCACTTCATCTTCCAGCATCTGGACTCCCCAGGAACCTACGCCAGGATCCTGTTTGTGGACTTCAGCTCTGCCTTCAACATCATCATCTGCTGCAGGACAAACTCTCTCAGCTACACGTGCCCGACTCCACCTGCAAGTGGATCTCTGACTTCCTCTCCGACAGGAAGCAGCACGTGAAGCTGGGGAAACATGTCTCATCCTCCCGGACCATCAGCACCGGTTCCCCCCAAGGCTGCGTTCTCTCCTCTCTGCTCTTCTCCCTGTACACAAACCGCTGCACCTCTAGTCACCAGTCCGTCAAGCTCCTGAAGTTTGCGGATGACACCACCCTCATTGGACTGATCTCTGGTGGGGATGAGTCCGCCTACAGGTGGGAGTCTGACCTTCTGGTGTCATGGTGCAGCCTGAACAACCTGGAGCTCAATGCTCTAAAGACAGTGGAGATGGTTGTGGATTTCAGGAAGAACAGAGTCCCACCTTTCCCCATTACCCTGTGTGACTCCCCCGTCACTACTGTGGATTCCTTCCGTTTCCTTGGCTCCATCATCACCCAGGACCTCAAGTGGGAGCTGAACATCAGCTCCATCACAAAGAAGGCTCAGCAGAGGTTGTTCTTGAGGCAGCTGAAGAAAGTGATGCCATTGATGATGGCCGTGAAGAAGTGCACCATCATGGTCTTTGGCAGGTTGAATTTCTTCAGCTGCTCCTCCATCACCGTCTGGTACGCTGCAGCCACAGCCAAGGACAAGGGCAGGCTGTGGCGTGTCATCCGCTGTGCAGAGAGGGTGATCGGCTGCAATCTGCTGGTGCACTTTTTTATTTTTTATTTTTAAATATTTTAAACTTTTATTCCTTTATTTTTAAACTAACCCATAGCCTTATATTACTGACCCATAGCATTATATTTTATTTTATTCCCCTTGCACTATGTTGTCTTGTCGTCCATTGTCGTACTGTCTGCTGTTATGCGCCAACCACCAAGTCAAATTCCTTGTATGTCTGACATATTATAGCAATAAATGTTTCCTGTTTCCTGAAATAGACTCTAGAATTGTCTTTTGCATTGTCATGCAATCATTGTGTGTGCAAATAATGTTTTAAAAGTAACTCAAAATAGCAATAAAGTCTTTGCAAGTGACGAGCATGCTGTCTCTCGTAATTGTGTTGATATGACATTATTTTTTTCTACAATCTTGTGTTTGAAGAGGGCAAAGTGGAGGTTAACGTTAACTATTCAGAACAAACAAAAAGACACAATTCACCGATTTACTACACTGCATTTAACATAATAGTGTTAGTGGTTTTGGTTTGGTTCGCTGATCAAATACTCCAGACTTTTTTGATTCTCCCACATTCAACTTGATAAACTTCTTCTTTTACTTGCATGTAAACAATAGGAGCGATAGCACCCCCAACACTTCCTGTAGTGTATTGCAATGCTGAATGATATACGACGCATCGACGACAGAAATCTGTGTCAACGATTTTTTTATAAGCGGCATCATCGGTTACGTCGACTAATCCTTGCAGCCCTGTCCTGGGTACCCTCTACATTGCTACTCTCATGTAGTCAATTCCTGTCTAGACACACTCGGTTGGTTGATGCCTCCACTGTATTTTGTTTTACCTAAGAAGTTTAGATAGCGTTGGTTATATTAACTTCTTTTCTTTGGCTCAACCACAGGTCCCAGCCTCCCCGCTCAAGGTACAATCATATTGAAATTGGAATGTTTGATACATATAAATTGTAAAAAAAAATGGCCCACACAAACAATTGTGTAACTTTCTCCAAATGACTGTCCTGTGTTCGTCCCCCCGTGCCACCTGAATCTGAATCGTGGAAGTCCCTAGGTGGGAACTAACAAGCTTCCGAACCCTGCTTTTCTGCAAAAGTCTGTCTCGCGCAAGCAAAAGTCTGTCTCGCGCGAACAAATGTCTGTCTCGTGCGAGATATTTGCTCGCTCGCGGAACGTGAACTTGCTCGCGCTCAAAGGTGTTTTCTACGCGCTTGCTGTTGTTCTTTTTGACAGTAAGGGGGTGGAGCCAGTCACCATGGTATCTCTACATCAAATTGGTTACAAACCCCGTCTTTGGATTGGCTGGAGTTATGCATTCACAGAACTATAGAAGCTAATTTATACACCAAAGAAAGGGGATAGAAAGTGGAAATTTCGCCTTACGACGCCTCTCTGTAACCGTAGTGGCCCGTAGATGACAACCAGCTACAACCCTAATTTATAGGGGTGTAACGATTCATCCACCGAATCGATTAATCGATTTATATTCCTGCGATCCAACTGAATCGATCTGTGCTCCGCAAATCGGCATTCCGGACGACATATATCGATTACAAATCATTTGAAATGGTACATAATCGATTTGTATCGATACTTGGAAACTGCACATTGGATTAAAGCACAAAAACTGTATGGATGTTTGTCTGTTTTTTAGCACTTTAGACACGTTAAACGTTACTCGATCCAGTCTGCCCGTCTGTGATGTCATCAGTACATAGCGGCAGCTGCGCGAAACTCTGAACAACAACAAAACACAGCGTGGAGGAGACGACTGCGAGCAAGACATTTACAAACCAACATATCGATCCAGCGCGTGGAAACATTTTGGCTTTTGCAAACACGGAAGTGTTCTAAATAAGTCGGTCGCTGTTTGTAGAATATGTAGAAGCCAAATAAAAAACCACAGAAACGAGAAGAATCTTTCCAGCCATCTACTAAGGCGCCACGGGATTACACAACGCCAACAGTCAGGCACCTCTAGCAGCGTTACCGCTGCAGCAGCAGCAGAAGGTAACTCCAGCTCTGCAGACACCTCAGGCCTTGCCAGCACGAAAATCAACATCACAGTAACAATTGCCAAGTTTAGCTGTAAAGACATGCGACCCCACAATGTGGTTGAAAATCCGGGGTTCTGTGAATTGATCCAAACATTGTGTAATTATTGTGTAATGTTTACATTGAAAATGGTTGCACAATAAAAGGTTAATACATTTGTCATCAATTGTTGTTTGCTTGTTTATAATATCCATAATTAATTTAAACCTGATTTCCTTACAAGAAACAACAGGGATCTCAGAAACTTTGCCTGCACTGTCCAGTAAAGTTACTGAATCGATTTCAAGTCACTGAATCGAATCGTTCTAAATTAACCCAGATCGTCAATGAATCAAATCGGCAACTATGAATCGCGATTCGAATCGAATCGTTGTTAAAATGAATCGTTACACCCCTACTAATTTACCATCATTACCGGCACTTCGGCCGCACATTAAGACCAATGCGTCCAGCTCTGTTCTTAGTGCGGAAATGGGCTTTTATAGTTCTGTGAATGCACAACTCCAGCCAATCCAAAGATACCATGGTCACTGGCTGGCTCCGCCCCCTTAATGTGAAAAAGAACAACAGCAAGCGTGTACTAAACACCTTCGAGCACAAGCAGAGATTAGTACGGTGGCCCTGAAGTGCAAAACACAACGGCAAATAGGAACGCACAACGAAATGAACTTCTTACGGAAAGGGTAGGGCCTTATAGCAGATAGCAGAGGACGGACCCTTCTGATTGTACAGACGGACTGTCTGTCTTTTAACCCTCTTAATTCGAACCCTTTCGCCGGCGACGGAAAGTGACATTCAAATTACCGTGACTACCGTGAGCGCAGCAGGAGAGCAGCAGGCGATGTTTTACGACTTTTGCTCGCGCGAGACAGACTTTTGCTCGCGGATGTTTGATTTACGTGCACGCATCAACTCCATTTTGACAGTGATTTGCCCCCATAATACGCTCAGTCCAGACCTTCTCCCTCAACATTAATGGCTCCATCGTCACCCCATTCAAACAGCTCCGCACCATCGGTATCATCCTCAACCCCACCCTATGTTTCCTATCCCATGCCAACTACATCACCAAGACTGCCTTCTTCCTTCTCAGAAACATTGCACGGCTCCGACCTTCCTCAGCCAACACTGAAATTCTCATCCGTGCCTTCATAACCTCCAGACTCGACTACTGCAACAGCATCCTCTATGGCTCTCCCAACAAAGTCCTCAACAAACTCCAATATGTTCAGAACTCTCGACTGCTTACCTCTGCATGCCGCTATGAACACATCACCCTTCAGCTGCTAAACTTTTTTCTTTTTAGAAAAACGGGTTCTGTTTGTTTCTTTTGTTTGCTCGTTTCTCTTTTGTTTCCTGTTTTTTTTGGGGGTGGGGGGGTTGGTCTTTGCCCTGTGTAAATTGCCTTTGGGTATCTAGAAAAGCGATATAAAACTAAAGTATTATTATTATTATTATTATTATCATCATCTGCAAAAAAAGTTTACCCATGGAGACTCCATTGTCTGTTTACACTCCACAGCTGCACTCGTTTCATTTATCTCAATGCCTGTCTTTTTTTTTAAACCTAAATTCATTTTTTGACAAAACACACACACATACTTTCCGTGAGTGTGCGTTACCCGAGGCCGTGCAACGTGTTGGCTGGTTTGAATGTGTGTATTCATGTTTTATTGGCAGTGAAGTACATTATTCCACAAACCCGCAGCGTTCCACTCATATCTGATTCTCCCTCAGGGGCCAGACACATGCTCTCCCACACACACACATGCATCACCCCCCCCCCCCATACCTCCCCAACACACACACACACACACACTCACACTCTAATTCACACAGGAAGGCTGCAAGTTTCTCTTGACATTGAAATCAGAAATGCAAGCTGGGCGAAATTCTGTACATTCCAACAAGTAAAGAAAGGACTCTGGAGCTGCCATAGGGTAAACAGATTTGAGAGGGGAATACTTTTGACAGTTTCACCTGAAGCGCCAAGGGCGCTTGCTCTTATTGTTGGAGAGGTTCTCTCGCCTGGCTTCAGAAAGAGATACAGTAACAGAGAGAGGTGAACCGAAACAACAATTGAAGAACAGACTTTAAAAGCCAAACAGACAGATCACTGAAGCACTGTGTGAGGGGGGAGAAATCATCAACAATAGATGTATTGTTTGTAGCGAGCTAACCCCCCCAAAAAACATAAATTTGAATTCAGCTGCAAGAAATGTGTTTTAACCAATACTCCTCTTTATATAAACTCGCTCACCTTAATCCCACAAGAACTCTGAGTCGAAAAAAGTCGTGAGCACCCATAATAGTTCACAAAGGAATCCGTGCCAGATGCGCAGCACAGTGTGTTTAGGAGAAAATGTCTCACCTTCATCAGTCTGATTTTGAGCTCGACCAAGGCGCAGCGACCAAGACAACAACCAGATGACTGTCAGACACACAGGACTGGACAAAACGCCTGGCATCTGGAGAGGTAGGGGAGAGAGAGAAGAGGAGGTATGATTACCGGCGTTATTTTCAAGCCTGAAAGGTATGGCGGTAAGCACAATAACATCGTTATCATCATTATTTAGAGTTCATTCTGCAAGAGTTAATTGGCATGAAAAGTTGAGTTGCTGGATTCACACACCCGAGCTAAAACTGTTGCAGGCTGTATAAATTCACTTATTCCTTATTATTGCAAATTCCAAGTTGGGTGCAGTGTGAAAATGCGATGACTGATTGCCTCCATCTCTGTCAGCCCAAGTCTCTCTCAGAACTAACAACTTTCCTTGGTTCTTTGAGAATGGAAAGTCTTATGCAATAAATCATTGTTAGTTTCCACTGGCTTTTGATAAGTTTAGTTCCAGTTGTGCTGGATAACAGATCCATGGAGCAGTTTGGTAGCGTACAGATGTATTTCTATGAAATTTGAATTTTAAGTTTCTCGTTCTCATCCTCATCCTCTAACTAATATATATATATATATATATATATATATATATATATATGTACATATTAGAGATGCTCCTGTGACGACTCGAAGAGACAGTGAAGATTAACTTCCTGTTTTTATTTTTGTAACCACGGCACTTCCTGTATCTAGTTTCTCACCCTTCGTTTCTCCCCACAGCTGAGTTTAGTTTGCAATCACCTCCACCTGTATTTAAGCCTCAGTTCCCCCACTTGTCTGTGTCAGGTTATCTTTTGTCTTTCCTAGAGGTGCATGTTTGTAGTTTGAAATTCCCAGTGCTGTTTTTGGTAACCTTGTTTTTACTTCGTTGCCAGGCTCTCTTCCTTTTTGTATCTACAAGAGCGTGTGGATTCCGCCTTTGCCTGTGCACCCTTTGTCTTGCATTAGTTTATTTTCCTAGTAAAAGATTCCAAACCTGGAAAGAAGTTTCTGTTGCCTTATTGCTCTGCACCTGAGTCGAAGTCCTGACCCCTCACAGCTCCGATCAGGTTTTTTGGTGCCGATCACTGAAATCAGTATCTGCCGATCCGATAATACCGATCACCGATCACGGTGTCGATTTAAGCATTCTATTTATTGTGTAGCATTATTTATGAAATGAATTATTCTTAACATTGGTTTTGTATTTTAAGTATTTAAATTACGAGACGAGAGAGTATCATGAATTGACAACCATCCGTTTTATTGCAGGGAACGTGCAACATTCCAATGTAGAAAAGCTCTCTCGCTTACTATAAAATGTGTAAATAATAAATATTAAAACAATAATAAAAATATAAATCTTTAAATGAAAATCACAACAATAGAAAAACATGTGCAACATTCCACTCTCTAGAGGCTCTCAATAGAACTTGGAGCTTATAGGAGGAGATAAGACAGAATAAAGATTAAAGGTGCACAGGAAGTCAGCAATTAAACAAAACATGTATATCTATCTGTATAGTGTCTCACTCACTCACATACTTCACTCACTCAACTCACTCGGAGAGGGGGCATACTAGAGTATTCAAACTTTACTTCTGATTAAGCAGCATCACTGGCAGATTTGCCTTGATAAATATAAGCATCTCAGCATTTTTAGGAGTCAACCTGTTCCTCTTCTCATCTAAAATATGTCTTGCTGTGCTGAAAAGTCGCTCGCTATCTACACTTGTACAAGGTGAGGAAAGGAAGACTCGTGCTGCTTAATAAACTGCGCAGTTAGGCTCAGCATAGACACAGGACAGACACTCGAACTCCAAATGTCACTCGTGAAGCTAACTGCCCTGATGTTGTCCTTCATAAGGCTCACGATGTGCGTGTAGACATTTCGGTATGATTCCGGCAGACAAACATCAGTTAGGTATTTTCGGCCTAGCAGCGTATAGCGTGGATCCAAGCAGGATACAAGGCGTCTTCCACAACAGACAGTGGCTGCTGATCAAGGCATATGAATTCCATTACCTTTGCATTTAATTCCTTTCGTCTCTTGTTGTCATTGCTGTATGGTTGCTGTCGTTTCAATGTCTCTGTTACGGTAAGCTGAGTGAGTGGCGTTTGGGAAGAGGTTGCACGCTCTTTGTCTTTACCTGCCTTAACGCTCGCCAACTTCGTAAACTCCTCAAATTCCTTGATGTGACAAGCTTTCAAATGCCGTATGAGGTTCGTGGTGTTGAAACCCCTTTGACGCGTTCCTCCACGGGGAACTACTTTTGAGCAGACGTTGCAAACTGCAAATTTATTATCTTTTTCCGACACCTTGTAATATTGCCAGACCGGCGAAGCCATTTTGTCTCAGTGGTTTCACCTACCCGCCACCGAAGACGGGGGCCAATGAAATTTAATAAGATGGAGAGACAGCCAATCACAAGCTTTTCAAAAAAAAAATCTGATCGGCCAAATTTGATCGGCCATTTTGAGAACGCCGATCAAAACCGATAATGGCAATATCGTCCGATATGCATCGGTGCCGATCAGATCGGAGCATCTCTAGTATATATATATATAATTTTTTTATATTCATTCAATTATATTTTTCGGTTGCAGATTTTATATTTTCAGATTCAAAACTGATATTAAATATAATAATATAATAATATTAAATCACTTTCAGATCTTTTTTTCACATTCAGACTTTTGACCCTGATGTGGCGTGGGGGGAGGGGCATCAACTGGGCTGAGGACAGATTCAGACATCCCGGTTCTAGAGCTCGTCAGCGAAGCGTTGTTGAAACACAAACGACTCCTCTCTGTAACCGCAGTGATGTAGACAACCAGCTACAACTAAGCATTGTTTTAGGAATAAGTTTTGAATATAAAATCTGCAACCGAAAAATATAATAGAGTGAATATCAAAAAAATATATGTAAGTGAAGATTGAAAAAAATATATTTTATTCTAAAAAAATATAGAGCTGAGTCAAAACTATATTCATCCCGAAAATATTTTTTGTCCACATATTTTTATTTTGAATATATTGTTGTATTTTTCAATGTTCAACAACAAAACTTAAACTTTCAGGTTTACATTTGCTTTTCAAATTAACCAAACTTTTGACCTGGATTTGGCTACATACAGTTCCAGTTGAGTATGGTATGGTTTGGATTACCCTTTCCATTAGCCATGTGTTTTGTGGTGACAAACTATTGATTAGTAGCACCACATGCTTGAAGTTTATTTTCACACTTCTGCTGCTCCTGGAGGAGAGGTGTGATCTGTGAGATATTGGACCTCCAGTCTCCATCTTTGCATGTTCCACGGCTTTTTAAACACATTTGAACTATTTAAGAGCTAAAAGGTACATGCAGCACATTACTAAGCGCACATGAGGATCTGATAAAAAATTCACCAATGTTAAATCTAAGATGATCTAAGATGACCTATATTGCTATTAGCGCCTCACCACGTAGCGGGACAGGGTTACATTCGCCACCGCGGCACCGTAGCTTCACACGGCACACATCAGCGAAAGGCAGCTCTCATGCCTCCCCCACCCAGTTTCACTTGCTTTCTCACTCCCTCTTCCTTGGTCCGTCCCTCCCTCTGGTGCTTTCTTAGGCCTCTCTGCACTGTACATTCTGTACCTGTGACCCCGGTGGTACGACTGTCGTCTCTTTACACCGATGCAGAACTTTCAACAATGCCCCCACCCCTCACTCCGAGAGAAACCGCAAAGAAGAATTAAGTGCAGCTGGAGGATAATACTCGTTTGAGTATTGAATACTGCTTTTATGGTGACTTGAAAACCATGCCAACATACCTTAATGTCCATCGAAGTGACAGCTATGATATCTTAATGGCTCATTGCTTGGAAAAACATTATGGGCAGAAATAAATAAATAAGACAAGGTTATTTTTCCCCTCTCTTCTAGAAATGTGATTAAATACTGATGTTGATGTCCTTCTAGAGCTCTAAGGGAATATTCCTCTAAATGCTTGTATAGCCCGATGGCAAGTCCCAAGGACGTTTGTCCACCGTTTTCAGTCGGAGTCGCTTACTTTTGAGACCTTGACACGTTTTCTCCCACCACCAGTCCTTGCCTAAGGTTTCCATGCCTCTGATGCCAGAGCATTCAAGGTTCAGTAAACACATTTATGTCATACTTGACCCTCTAAGCTCCAGAGTACCATTGCTTCAATGTTGTGGTTTTTCTGTATTAATTCTCTCTTATCTCTGCCTGCGCATCACCATCGTTACAGCTCTATCATCCTCCCTGCCTGTGGTTTCCCGTGCGGGACTTCTTACCTTTCCATCACTAATATGATACAGATATAGCTCGAGGACAGGATAACAATACTGCTTGATGAGAGCAGTGATAATCCGTCCTCATGTCACCACTCGCATTGGGTTGTTGCTTTTCTTGCCCTGCTATGTTAGCATGGTAGCACTTTTCTGAGTGTGTAACAAGTTGTTCCATCCAAACATTTTGAGACATTACTAGCTGTGTTAAAGGACAATACAACTAGTATATCTTATCAGATGCTGCAGCAAACCAGGGCTCCTCGCTTAAATACAGTTATCTCTCAGATTGGGAATTGGGATTGGGTCTTTTTGTGTTTTGGTGGAGATCTTTTGGACACTGGGACGATCTGAGACACAGCCGAGGACAAAACGGAGACAAGTGAAACATTTTCTTGAATCTTTGCTGTGCGCATTCTTTCTTCGGAGACAAGTGAAATGTTTGTAACTGGAATGTTCACACTTTTTATGCTCAGGGAGGGATTTTATGTACAAATTCAGATGTCATTTAAGTGATTTACAAAATGTCCTCGTAAAGGCAGCAACTGATCCAACACAGAGCGAAAGTAGGTATTGTTTTTTTTGGAATAATAGGAATTAGGATTTGTTGTATCTGTCTTTGTTTCTTTTATGTGGACTCATGTATCCAGAATTAAAGTTGAAAGTAAAAAAATCAAAATGGTGCAAAGGTCTTAGAGTGTAAATAATAGAGACGCACTAAAAACCATGTGGTCTCATCTTAATTACGTGATCCCTTTTCCCATTCTAAATAAAGTGCACGTTTCAAAGAAAGC